GATCGTCCGGTTTTAGGGAAGAGGCATATCATACGAGAGACTGTCCACAAAGATAACAATGGTATGGGTGTGTGATTGTTAAGTAGACTGACCAGCATTGAGCCATCCTTATGATTTTGGGCATAATTTAAGTTTTGTAATATTTGATCTTTAATTATTTTTAAGATTTTTGCCCTTGATATTTTAATAGTCATAATATTTTAAAGTAATTTTACATTTGGACTCTCTCTTTCTCTGTCCCTCTGGACAAGTGGTCAGTCTACTTGCAATTAACTACAACTTCATAGATTAACAACAAACTCAATACTTAATTATTAATGACTTTGTGTTTTACATTCAGGAAATGAGATCAAAATTGATGGCAAAGTATTGCGAAAATTAATGTTAAGCGATAGCTATAAGTGGTTAACACTCAATGATGTGATCAAAAGAGTGGATAATATCGCCAAAGGGTTAATCAAAATGGGTGTCAAAAAGGGAGACAATGTAATCATTTGGGCGGACACTCGGCTCGAGTGGACACTCTGTAGTCTAGCGCTCATCAAAATTAACGCAACTCTATGTACGCTATACTCAACATTAGGTAACGTTAATCATTGTATTAAATTAATTAGTATTAAAATCTACTCAATTGAGATTACATTAGAGATTAAACATACAATTTCTTATACAGTGCAACTTCTCCATAGGGAACGGCCAGTTGCACGGCAAAAGTGTTCCTTATAGAGAGGGTTCCTCCAAGGGAGGTTTGAGTAAAATGTCTTATTTTTTATTAATATTTAAAAATGTTTGTTGATAATAGCAATTATTAAATATAATCAGTAATTTTAGTTTGTTTAGGTGTATTAAAATGAAAATTAAGTGCTTTAGTCTTAATTTTGTCCAATTGTTCAAACATTTGATCAACGGATGCATCTCTTGATATAAAATAGGACTTTAGAGTATACACCACATTTCATAACTATTAGACATCTATCGAAGCTTGTAGCACCTAATCCAATTATGTAATCGCCATT